ATAAATAGTTGGACTGGGGTTTTCTATAAAACCCCAAAGAATAAATATAACTATTATTATGAGCAGACATGTAAAAGAATAAAAAATGGATTCTGAGCTCAACATCAATCCATAGGCATACAAGCTTTGCCAATATCTTGGGATAGCTGTCAATATCAGTTTTCCTTTACAAGGCCAAACCCTTTGCCTATATTCTCTCCTCCCTCATCACCACCACCACACAAGGCGGTCATGAGTCCTCTCACGTGAGGGCACAGAGGTGGAGGCTGGCTGAAGGACACGCCGGGGCCATGCAGGGATGAGTGGCTTCTGGGATCACACTGGCCCACTTCCGCTCTTTTCTCTGGGCTGAGGACCCAAATCTGGGCTCTGGCTCATCCTCTGCCCTCTGCTCGGCCCTTGTCCTGCTGTTTAACTTCTAATGTGTGTGGCTCGTCTCCTTGGCTTCTGGTCACTCGCTGAGCATTTGTTATAAATATTGTATTTATATATTTAAGACACAAATTTTAAAAAAAGCTAAGCAGACTCCACATTACACATAGGCCATTTTGTCCCCAGTGCTGGCTCCTGAGGCAACTTTACAGAGGAAGACCTCAGGGTCTGGGGTCTAGTCCTGAGGTGGGAACCGGGAGGGGTTAGTTAGGATGAAGGTGTCAGGTAAGGCAAGTGCCAAGAAAAGTTTCTAGAAGGAGGTGGGGTGGCCGGAGGGGAGCAGAGCAGGAGACACCAGGAGGGAGTGGATGGGCTCGGACGAGAGCAGGGGACCCACCATTGAGGCTCAGGGCGTGGAGGGAACCTGTGAGAACTTTGGGAAAATGAGGTGGACTTGCTGTGGTCACCAGCACCTGCCTCCTTTCTCACCTGACTGGGGACAAGGGGCTCCCTGGACACCGCATAGAAAAGATGACCTGCCACAAAAAGCCACCAGCTGCTTCTGGATCAACCGGGACCCGGCCACTGTCCAAGCCAAAGCGGAGAGGGTGCCGCAGACACAGGGCCCTCCCACCCACCTGCAATGTCCCCCAAGCGAACCCGCTGCCTCGCTGCCTCCGCTAATGGTAAGAACGGTGGCGTCTACACGAGCCTGCCTGGAGGGAAGCGTGTCCAGCAGTGGCAGCGGGAGGTTCCGGTGGGATCACGGAACACCACGAATTGATTAATGAGCCCTGGTGAGTTGCTGTCATTCTTGGACAATGGAGTTCCACAAGCTTTTGTGCAGAAAGGTTCTTATCCTCCCATTTGCCCACAGTCAGCCCTGGCAGCTGACCTGCACTATCGTTCTTGTTCAGAAGATGTGTTTTTAATACATTTTTGTAGAAAAAGGCTAGTTTTGTACTAAGAACAATGAAGCTCACAGACCGCAGTCCACCCATCTTAGCTCACCCTGGATTTATCTGCACGCAGTGGGGGGAGGATAAGAAAGCCACTCCGGTCCTGGGACTGTGTAGGGACTGTCCCTGAGTGCGTGTAGGGACCGCCTTCGGAAGGAAACGGTGTCAAGAGGGGGTCATCAGTAACACCAGAAAGTTCCATCCTGGCCAGGAGACAAGACCCCCTTTGGACTGAATTTTCTTTCATTCTCTGCAAGTGCAAAAACATCACCAAGGGCCAAGATTTTTCTAATTTGTCATCTTGGCAAGCTCAATCTGACAACATATTTGTTGAATTTCAACCCCAAATCATCTTTCCAGGTTTGCATCACAAAGGAAAATGAAACGGTGTTTCCTACAGTTCAGCTGCTTATGCAAAATCTCACAGGGAACAGTAAAGTCTCTCCACTCCCAGAGGGGAGTGCTGGGAGCCGGTCCGTCCTTGCTGCTTGACACAGTTGCTGCAGGGAAGAAACATCTGCACAGCATATGTTTCAAGGGACCTGGCGTATATGGCATACCGTTCTTAATATGTTTGCTCCCCTTCTTGTCGCTATGTGTTTTAACCAAGGTCACCTCTCTGAGAAAGGTTGTTTTCCCAGGTGGGGATTTTTCCCTGGAGTTAGGGATTAACAGGACTAAGGAAGGGAATAAATCAGTAAAACTCCTTAACTAAGGCGGGTAGTTAATCACTTTAACTACAAACAATCACCCTTGAGCTACATAATCTTTACTCCCTGGAATGGAGATAAGAAACGCCCTAACCTTTGGAATAGAAATTGATAGGATTAAAATCAACTGGTATAAATACAGATGTAACAAGACAACAGAAGACAGAACCCAGAGTCAGAACCTAGAGTCAGAACCTAGACACAGAACCTAGAAACAGAACCTAGTGAGAGAACCTGGCTGAAGAACCTAGACTCAGAACCTAGACTCAGAACCTAGACACAGAACCTAGACACAGAACCTAGAGAGAGACAGAACCTAGAGACAGCACTTGGCTGGAGATCCTACACAGAACCTAGAGACAAGACTTGGCTGGAGATCCAAGATCCAAGACAGAACCTAGAGACAGGACTTGGCTGGAGATCCTAGACAGAACCTAGAGACAGAACCTAGAGACAGGACTTGGCTGGAGAACCTGGACAGAACCTAGAGACAGAACCTAGCAAGAAAACATGGCAAGAGAACCTGACTAGAACCTGGCGACAGAACCTGACTGGAGATCCGGGCTAGAACCTGGCTGGAGAACCTAGACAGAACATGGCAGGAGAACCTGGATAGAACCTGGCTGGAGAACCTGGCTAGAGAACCTAGTGAGAGAACCTGGCAATAGAACTTAGCTGGAGATCCTGGACAGAGCTTGGCTGGAGATCCTGGCTAGAGTTCCTGGCTAGGCTGCTGATCAACTGAATGCTGCCTCCGTGTCATTCATTCTTCGCCGACTCCGTCCACACCTTTGGGGATCCCTGGACCTGCTGGGGTTGGACCCCAACAGGGGAGGGGTGGCCAGTGCAGGGGAGCATCTGCAGTCACAGAGGCCACAGAGGCCAGCAGAGAGCCGGCCTAACCCTGACTTCTGCTCCACAGAGAGAATCCTCTTTGCTGGAATCTTTTGTGAAGGGAGGAGGTGTAGGTAAAGAAAAGAGAGGGAGCTGCCATCTGCCTCGGGCACTTTGCAACATCCAGCATTACAGTAAGAACAAACTTCAGACTCAGCTCTTCACTTTGCTGGGGCAGAGGTTGGGCAGGACTGACTATGTGGCATTTCACAGCTCATTTCTTAAGTACACAATTGCTTGGCATTTTATCCCACAGCACCAAGCAGCCTCGGGCTAGGGCTTGGCATATATTGTAAAAATCTGGGAGAATGAATCAAAATGAGGTCATGTGAAAATTCTGTTGTCAGCGGTCAGCGGTCAGTGTGCCTGCTGGGAATGTGGGAAGAAGAGTCCATGAACCTACCTGCCTCCTCCCAGAGTCCTTCCCAGTAGCCTGGGGCTAAAATAATTAGTCCAGCAAATCCCACCTTCAGCCCATCAGGTTGGCCTCCACTCATTTCCCCATGTGGGAAAGTAAGGGTGGAAAGGGTGTTGTCATGCTGGCTTCTGGTTTTTTTGTTTGTTTGTTTTTTAATATATTTTATTATTTTTTTACAGAGAGGAAGGGAGAGGGATAGAGAGTTAGAAACATCGCTGAGAGAGAAACATTGATCAGCCGCCTCCTGCACACTTCCTACTGGGGATGTGCCCGCAACCAAGGTACATGCCCTTGACCGGAATTGAACCTGGGACCCTTGAGTCTGCAGGCCGACGCTCTATCCACTGAGCCAAACCGGTTAGGGCATGGCTTCTGGGTTTTATTTCGCAGCTGAATAATTGCCCATATTCATAGTTTATATTTTAAAACACGCTTTGGAAATGCTAATGATATCCCCATACGAAGTTCAAAGTAAACCAAGGTGAGCTCTTCCATAGTCCCACACAGCAATTACCAGGAAAACCTAGGACTTTGCAGTTAAGTGGTGCCCTTTTAAATAAAGGCAAACCCTTTTATTATGCTACTAGAGGCCCAATGCATGAAAATTCATGCAAGGTAGGCCTTCCTTCCCCCGGCTGCGGGCACTGGCTTCCCTCTGGCACCTGGGACCTGGACCCGGGCTTCCTTCCTCCAGCCTGGGCTGGCTTCCCTCTGGCCCTGGCTTCGTCAGGAAGGACGTCCGGAATAATGTCCTGAAGACGTCCAGTCTAATTAGCACATTACCCTTTTATTACTATAGATGATCTTAGTAACATCAAATGGTGTGTGCCCCCCTCTCCTGCCCCCCACTACCCAGGGATAGCACCAGGAAGGACCAAACCTCCATGAAACAAAAGAAATGAGCTAAGCACAAGTTAGCACCACTCTCGGGAAATTATGAACTAACCATACCTCTGCCAGGCTGGGTCCTTGTGCTGCTCACTCGGCTACTGCCTGCCACACGGGTGGGTTTGTGATAAATACTGGCTCGGTAAGTCAATGATATAACTTGCTGGGCTTTCTCTCTATGTGGCCTGTCTTTGGAATAGTGACAACAACTTCTCAGGCCAGTAAAAAAATAAGGCCCTTTCTACTTCTCTTTTTTATTTAGAAAAAGGTTTTTTCCATTGGGGTCTCTCAGAGGAGTTGGCAGCATTTGATTTCAGTTGAAGTGAGGGTGTAAGTTATCTGCTGATTTCTCTCCTTTCCAGTCATTGCCGTGTTCCCTTCCTCCTCCTCCCCCTCCCCCTCCTCCTCCTCCTCCTCCTCCTCCTCTTCCTCCTCCTCCTCCTCCCCTTCCTCTTCCTCCCCTTCCTCTTTCCTCCTCCCCCTCCTCTCCTTCTCCTCCTTCCTCCTCCTCCTCCTCCTCCTCCTCTTCCTCGGACTGCAGCCTGGCAGAGCCCAGGATCAAGTTCTCACCTGATTCTCAGCTGCCTCAGGTCAGGGTGGAGTGCCCCTTCACTAAGCTCACTGCTCAGCACCTGCATCACCTTTGCCCGAGGCCAGGGCCGGCCAAAGCTGAGCTGTGAACTCACTCGGAGCCTTGCCAAATGGGCAGCCCTCCAGGGTCCCAGGAACACATCCGGCGGGGCATCTCCCACCACTCACCTTATCACCGTGGGGGTGATCTCTGCACAGAAGAACACACTGAGGCTTCCCACTGCGTGGGAGGCAAACATGCCCACGATGGAAAACGCGATGGAGAATTTGTCCTTGACACTGTCGCTCATACCTGAAGGGCAATCAGAAAGGGTTGGTGAGGAGGGGCAGAGGGAAGGGGAAAGGAAGCTAGTCACGCTGGGGCGGAGAGAGCAGGGGAGAGGGGAGCAGGGAGGCCTGGGATGTATGAAGGGACTTCCCTCTTCCCCTCTCTGCTATTGGGGTGCAGACCAGGGTGCTCAGTCCCTCTGCAGAGGGCGGAGCAGCCCAGAGGCAGGAGGTCAGACCCTCTGGGCAGTAGACTGCCGGGTTCCTGCAGGTCCCCTGTGGGTCCTGAGGGCTGGGGCACACACGACTGCTGGGTGCCTCAGGCCGAGCCCGCCTGGCAGGAAGGGAGGCTGGCGGTCTCAGGGTTACAGCAATGTCCACTCTGTCCCAGCCTTCCATATGTTCCAGAGAAAGGTGCCCGCACTCAGAGAGCCCTGGCTATTCGGGCCTTAGTTTTGCCCAGTCCAATACACAGGGCAGGGTATCTTAGGCTTGATTTAAGGGAATAAAAACTCAAACAATCCAAACAGAAAAATTTATGGGCCTGGAAGGAAAGGGCTCAACCAACCCAAGCATCTTGCAAATGGCACTAGAGTCTGACCTCACGCCAAGGTGGCGTCTAGCGTGAAGCAATAGCGGGCCGCTGGGGCGGAGCTCTGTTCCCTGCGAGGCTGCAGGGGACTCAGGCTCTCCCTGTGGAGGGCCCAGGGGCATGGGCTTGGGTCAGGCCAGGCACGTGTGACCAGCAGCACTGCGGTGCACGGCGGTGGCGCTGCCATCCCCGCGGCGGAGAGCAACAAGCCCGCAAGACTCATTCACAAGCAGACAGCAGCTTCCCCCAGCAGCATGGTCAGCCAGGCCTCCAACACCTTTGGGCGTTCTGATCTCGCCCAGCACTGTCCCTAAGACACTCTGCAGCTCTGCTTGGGTGGCAGCTGAGGCCTGTGCTGACTGCCTGTGCCGGTGCCAGGGGAAGAGGCGAGGGCATGCGTACAAACTGGGCACAAACAGGAGGAGGAGCAGCTCTTTCTAGAAGCAAAGGGGGTAGAGAACACAGATGTATGCTTATAGTGTCCAACCTACGGCCAACTTCAGCTGCAACTCTTGGAGGGTGAAGGAGGAGGAGAAACAGGAGAGGGAAAACACAGGCGAGTGAGTGTTTATGAAATTGCCCGTTTGGATGCAATACAAAGATGATGACGCGCACGCACAAGCATGTGGGGCTCACCTGAGTCTGGGTGCTGGGTGTACTTCCCAATCACTGGGCCGCGGAGATGATGGCAGCACACGGATGAGGACAAAGAAAGCGGGAAAAGGGGGAGAAAGAAAGCACATTAGGCAAGTCCACTGTGTGTTTCCACGTGGCTGGAATCTCAGTGAATTCCCTGCAGGTCTGGGCCAGAGAGCTAGAGAGATGGAGAAGGCCCGTGGGACAGTCCCAGGCACTGGAATTAGCACTTGGCTAAACAAAACTCTTCCTGTTGGGAAGGGCAGGCTAAAGCCTCACTGGCCTCATCCTGGGGAGAAGCCTGCACCCTCCGGAACCGACTCTGGCTCACTCCCTGGCCTGAGCCAAGCACTACTTCCGCTGCGCACGAGCCTCGTCACTGCCGGCCTGTGCTCAGGGAGCCTCCGCCGCGGCCACCGCCAGGGGCGTTATGCTCTGAGTCTGATCCTCAGACGACTTGTCTTTTGCACAAAGTTGCTGTGGCGTTCCTTCCTGCTCAGGGAAGAGAGCGCAGTGGCGTCCCGGGCTGCCGCTGCACATCCCCTGGAATGCCCACTCCCCGAGGCTCCCTGGGAGGGCAGCTCGGGCAGCCCCACTGGGGACAGGATGGTCGAGAGACAGACAACACTCCTCCGGTCCCTTGTCAGTCACAGCTGAAACAAAGACCAGTCCCCAGCGAGATGCAGGATGCACAGGACCTGCCCTTAGAAAAATGCCTCGTGAGGCCGAAACCAGCTATTCTCTAACCCAGTTTGTACACAGGCTGAGGAAGTTGTGAGCTTTCTTTCGCTTCCTTCCGTTCTGGACCCTGACACGTGTCTCGGCCACATCCCGCACACCTGACATACCAGAGGCTCTGACCCTCGGTGCACGAGGGTCCCGAGCCCAGTCCCCACAGCCTGGTGGCTCCCCTCATGGCATCTGTGTCCCCACAGTGTCCGAGCTGTCCCAGGAGGCCGGGCACGGGTGAGAGGAGGGCTCAGCTGCCTGGCTCACTCACGTCTCACTGTGAGCAGGCCAGAGAGATGCCTGTGGCTCCTTCCACGCATGGAGGTGGGCCTTGGCTCACACAGCGCTGTTCTGAGCTTGCCTTCTTATACTTGCAGGGGCCACATGGATTCCCCAGCGTTCCTTTAAATCATTTAAACATTTACTGAGAAATTCTTTGACCCAAAGACAAGCTGAGGAACTTGGGAATATCTACTGAAAAGCAGGTCCCAACGCAAGAGTGTCACCATTTATTTCCCCCTTCATTTCACAGGGAAGAAACAAGCCCTTCTTCTTCTCTGTCAGGTGCTGTCACAGAGATAGTCTGGCCATTAGTGAAGCCGCGGCCATGCAGGTGCAGTCAGGGCAGCTCTGAGTGGGAGCCCAGGGTTGGGGAGGGAGAGAAGAGAAGGCAGTCACCATGCACAGCTGTTAGAGCTGCTGATTTTGGAATACCAGGTCACTGAAAACTAGTCTCAAGTCCCACCAGCCCTTTTGTACACCGGCCCCTTCACCCGGCCCCACCCCCACCCCACAGCCCATCCCACTCCCCCGGCTCTACTCACGGTTGAGGAGCCCAAGCTGCAGGAGGGAGGCCAGGGCAGTGAGGATCATGAAGAGCAGCAGCCCTCCCCGGCGCCCCAGGAACCTGACCACCACACACATAGCCAGGCAGGAGGCCAGGGTGATGCTGGCCATGGTGTAGTAGTCGGCGTAGAAGTTCTCCAGCAGTGGCACCTTCACCTCGTGGCCCATCATGCTCCTTGCGAAGCAGTGGTGGATCCCGAACCCTGTCAGCCTGTGGGAGACACAGCGAGAGGGCCATGTGCGGGCATGCAGGACACCAGGGACCGTGCCACGCCCCGGGAGTCACTGTGTCCAACAACAAGGAATCGTGTGAGCGGCTCCATGTGTAATCAAAAGTGTGCCGTTACCATCAGTGAATGGATAGGAGAGAGACACGCAGACTGAAGACTTCAGAGAGGTGACCCTCACTGGGGCCCGTGCTCACTCCCTGCCATCACTCCAGGAGAAAGGTGTAAGCATAAAGGCAGTGAGGCCTTCTGTTCAAACAGCAACTTTCACGGGAACCCCACATGCAAGACAGAGTGCTTCCCTCGTGTCACTCCTTCAATCCCACATCAGTGGCGTAGGAGCTACTGTCAGACCCACCTCACAGGCGGGCACACAGGCTGAGGGAGGTCCAGCCGCTTGCACAGATTACTCAGCTGGCAAAGGACAACCTTAGAGACACACTGCCCGTCTGTGTCTGCCTCTTCCTTCAGCACTCGGGGCTCTGGGGGCTTGGGAATCCGTCCAGAGAATGACCTATTCAACCCTGTTCTGCCACTTCTTGTCAAAGGCACCCTGAAGAACCAGTAGAAGCCAGGCCAAATGGTCTTGGAGACTTTCAGTTCTTCATTTACGTCCATCTCCTCCACTGCCCGGATCAAGCCTCTTGTCTGCCCCCCAGGATCACAGAAATATGCTGGCAACATGTGTCCCAGCTGCTGCAGACAGATGTCTGCTCTGGGAAGCATCTGTGCAGGCCCAGGGAGGCTGCAGCAGTGGTGACCACACCACGTGGACTGAACCCAGGGCTCTGAAGGGCCCTTTGGGACGGGGTCTGGTGTGAAACGCTTGCACGCTGGGGGAGCCCCTTTGTTATGTCAGCACTCAGCATCCATTCCCTTCTCCTCCAACTCCCTTGGTGCTCTCATCACGCCTCGAAGATGCATCAGGCCCCACCCCTGCAGCAGACCCCACCCCTGCAGCAGGATGCTGCCCTTTGCCAACACACGCCTTTCTGCTTGGGAAGCACTCAGCCGAGGACCCAGCCCCTGGGCGTCCTTTTCTCATCTAGTAACTGAGACTCAGCGCGTCTCCTGGACCGATGACTGCCCTTTCCTCCTGGCTCAGGGAGGGTGCAGGGAAGTCTTCACCTTTCTGTTCTGGTGGAGAGCAAGTCCTCTGACCACAAAGGCAATTTAGGACAACAAAGCCAGAGAAAGAGGCACCCTCCAACAAGAATCATTAGAATGTCATCTTGTCTTTGTCATGTTTTGTGTTTTTTTCCAAAATACAACTTGGAGAAGTCACTCCATTCTTAATGGTCCTATTGGTCTATGTCTGCCCAAGATGGACAGTGGTGTGGTGACCGTGCCCGGGGCCAACTCTGGGCCAGGAGGCTGAGGCCTGAGGTCTTGGCCCTGACCACCCGGTGGCCATGGCTGGTCAGTCCCTTGCCTGGGCCATGGTCTCCTCACCTGGGGGACAGGGTGTAAGTGAGGTCTGAGCTTTCCTATCTCTCTGGCAGGAGAACTTTTTTATCTTCCCCAAATTTAATCAGGAACCCCAATACCGAGACCTGATTCAATGGAGCTGCTTTGACAGAACAGCTGTGGGGAATGGCAGGACTAGCCTGGCCCATCCTCTCGCGGTCGAAAGGATGCACATCTGTGTGGACTAGCCCAGGGCCCGCCTGTGCAGCCCGGGGTGGCTGGCTGGGGCTCTAGCTGCGCTGAGGCTGGGGTTGGGGCCCATATCCTCCAGCAACTGGTTAGAGAGCTCTGACAGGCTTATCAGACTTAGCTGGGCCCCTCAGCGAAGGGCGGAGCCCTGGGCAGGCCAGAGGGCCAGCTCGGCCATAATTCAAAAACCAGCTGCGAAGGAGGAGGGCCTGGAGGCCCTTTCCGGCCCCTCCCTGTCCTCGCCCTCGGATGTGTCCCTCTGAAACTCACGAGTTCACACACAGGACCACGATGTTCTTCCACAGGTTCCGGGTTCCCACCATCTTCACGATGCAGACCTTCTTGGGCCTCCGGGACAGCTCCTTCTCCAGCTCTGCGGAGAAAGAGAGCGTGACCTCTCCGCAAGGCCCGGACCGGCGGCCTCAAAGACAGCCGGTGCCCAATCAGGCATCGTGAACAGGGAGAATACTGTGGGGTTTCCCCCTCTAAGGCAGGGGACAGAGCCTGGCTGTCAGGATAGCGAAGGTGTTCACGGACTCTAACCTGGCTGTTCAGATTCCCCGCGGGGTGGGGCGTGGAGGGAGCCGTGCTCACTGTCAGCCTCTCCTGGGAACCAGGCAGGACACACACAGTGATTAGCGCAGGCTCATTCCACACGGGCAGAGGTCAGGGCCGAAGGGTGGTTCTAGGATACTGAGCACTCACTGGGCTCTGGGCACTGAGAACAGTGGCTTCCTTCTAAGTCTGATCTGTCTGCACCGCCCACTGCTCAGAGAAGCACATGCTGACATGCTCCTTAACTGTGGGCGGAACGCACGATGGCGTCGCTGCTGCTTCCGACACCGCCCCTCCAGTGCATGCATCTTCGAAAGAGAAATAAATGCAGGAACTGTGTGCCTATATGTGCACACACAGATACACACAATCTACACGTGGGTATACTTTTAACACTCAAAGCCTTTGGCAGCTGGAAAGACATGATGTTTTGGCTGAAAGTGATGTGACCAACCACACAGTTAGAAGACAGTTTCTTGCGAGGCTCAAACGGGCTCCAAAAGCCATTCTGAACAGACTGACGGCATCCCAGGGCCGCGTTAACCGGGTTCATGGGTTTGCTCAAGTGCTGGTGTTGACTTAGCAAGTTAACATGGAAGATCAAAATAGGCAACATCTGGACCTCCACGGCCTCCCTACCCCTCTGTGCACAGAAAAGCCACCGTCCAGCCTCCCAGGCCCTTCTTGCTCCTGCCCAGGCCTGTCCTGGGGGAATAATCCCCTACTCGGGAGCTAAAAGGGAAAAGGACGACTTAACCAATTGGGTGGCTGGCTAGAGCTCTTTAAGATTGTTAAGGCCACGAAAACAAGGAAAGACTGAGAAACTGCTGTAGTTCGGAGAGGACTGGGGAAACGGGCTGACTAAGTGCCATCTGGGAGCAGGAAGAGGTTACTCATGGGAAGATGTTGACATGCAGGTAAAGGCTGGCGTTTGGTTAACGGTAGCGTCCCCGTGGCAGTTTCTCAGCTGTGACAACTGTGCCGTGGGAATATCAGATGGTAATAAGAGGGGAGACTGAGTCAGGGGTCTTCAGAAATTCTGTACTACTTTGCAACTTTTCTGAAAACTTAAAGTTATCCCCAAAAAGTCTACTACGTTTTTCTTAAAAAGCAGTGGAGGTGGGAAGTTCCCCGTATACTAGGAAGCCTTTAGTGCTCAGAGGAAACAGGCCTGCCTCCCAGAGCAGCAGCTCCCTCAGGGAGTCTCTGAAGAGTGCCCTCCACACCCACACCCCTGCCACCTGCCCCCTTACTTCTCTCCTGTTCTACCTCCTTCCTGCCATCCAATGGCAGGAGGGCCGCCGGCCTCATTAGTTACAGTTGGAAGGAAAATATTTTGCTTAACCATAAGGATTTAGGAGCTTTTTATTTAAATAAATTTTTTTTTGGATCAGTGTCACCAGCTGTGGCATAGAAAGGAGAAGAAAAAGCCTCTCCTATGTCTGAGGGATACCATACCACTTGAGTTTCCAGAACTTTCTTCCTTTCCATATTTGGGTGTGAAGATTGAGGTCTGTGCACAAGCCAGACGGCTGGCATTCTGGCTGTGTCCACAGACCCTCTCCTGAGGTCTTCCTGACTTTTATGCTCCCCTTTGTAAAAATGGACTAATTTGATTTACAAACATACTTTCCTCCTGGTTAAAAATCTAAAAAACTTTTAAAGAATATAGAAAAATTATAGTTAATAGATCATGTTGGATCCAGTGACCTGAGTAATTTCACTTTTGTAAAACTTACCAGGAATCAACTATAATAGCTCCACTTGCTCACCATGAAAATCTTACAAGAAGAAACCTTAAATGCCCATTAAGATGTTTACATAAGTTTAAAGGTTGTGTTTTTTTAAATGTGGCCCAAACTTAACTACTAACACATTATTAGAAGTAAAATAGATGTTGCTAAAGAAACTGTAGCAATTGTAACTATGACTGAGTTTTGTTTTTTATATAACATTAAACTCTAGAGCCCCAGGTCTGAAGAACTGACTGCAGTCTACAGAGGAACTGCATTCTAATTGGAATGAAATGAACTTGTCTGGGCCACTGACATTTTGTCCGTTAGACATATCACCCACCAGCCTACCAACAGCAACATAACCTTGCTCAGCACTAGGTCTGTTCTGGGACAAAAGTCCACCAGCCGGGTTACAGGAAACATTAGAGGCCGTCGGAGACCTCCGGAGGTAACTGCATAGGTAACGGAAAGAGGCCTTTCCACCTCCGCTTATCAGACAGAAATCGCAGGGACTTTGTGAAGTCCTTGCACACGGGAATAACGGGTAAAAAGGGGCATGAGGGTCGACAGACTCTGCATCAAGGAAACAGCTGTTAAAGCAATTCTCCTCCTGCTCCCCAGCCAGGACTCTTCCACCCTCTGGCTTCGAGCCATTAGGAACATTTCAAAACAAAAAACAAATAGAGTCAAGTTAGGAATCTCCCACCCAGACCAGGCACCTCCTGTCACTCTGCCCCTTCTTCTGCCCCCAGGCTAGTCCTTGTGAGATGCAGCCAGAGGGCCCGGGTCTGTCTGGGCGGGGTCTCCCTTCCAGAATGGGGGTGGGTGGGGTGGGGTGGGGGGGCAGCGAGGGGCCCACAGACCCAGCAGAGTCCCGGCTTTCAGCTGTTATTGTTGAGGCTCCTTGGGAAAGTTACTTAGTTGCTCTGTGCCTCAGTTTCCCATCTGTTAAGTGGAACACTGTCCCCACCTCAGAGCACTGTTACAAGAACCGAATGAAAAGCTGACCCAGTCTGTCCCCACTTCTCAACACTGACTGCAGAAGGAAAGGTGTCCCTGCAGACACACTGGAAGGGTCATGACCTCTCCGTGGTTTGGATATCCAGAGGAGG